GAAAGAGTTCTGACTCAGGAGGACATAACTTAACTTTTGTTACTTACTACTATTTGACTACTTCTGAAAGACCCGTTCAAAGCTGTAGTACATTCTGAAGCCCCGCTTGTTCCGCAGTGGTCCATCCCATGCCAGAAGTCATCTCTTAGGAGCTCTTAAACTTTTTATTCCTCAGTATGCTGTGAGATTTCACGGATGTTTATAAAATCTGTGGGCTGAAGGCAATATGGATGTGTGTAATGCTTTTTTCTTTTTTAATTGGAAGCACTTTTGTTTTTATACCACATTTGCACATAGTGGGGAATATTTCAGTAAAGGGAAATGCCATGGCTGCAGGCTGTAGCTACTTCCCACTACATGGAATAACCTTCACTGCTGCAGACTTCAAGGAGATCTGAGGCTGTTAATTCAGCAGTTTCTAAAGTTAATTGTGGCCTTTACTTGACTGATTTAGGTTTAACCTTTCTGAATGCTTTCTCTCAAAAAAAAAAAAAAGTCTGAGTAACAAAACACAGAGACAATGGACTATGTGTTTGTGAAAACAGGAAACTTTGAGTCGTGGTGGAGGTCAGATGACTGGAACCACCCAAACACTGCAGTGAACTGCCAAGAATGCGGGGTTGCTATTGTGGGGAGACTTCTAGGAAGGGCATATAATTAATCAGAACAATTGGAAAATGTTGTATTAACGAAATTGGTTTTGTCTCAAGTATGAAGCCAGCTAACAGCATCTAGTATATCCAGGTTTGTCTCAAGAATGAGGGTGGCTGACAGTATCTACTATATCCAAATTCCTCGGGCCAGCATGTTACACAGTTCATGGCAGGTTATGAGAAGCAGGTTTGTCTAAATATGCCTTAGTAATATCTGTCTTCACGGAGCTTATGTTTCTGAACTGCTCTTAGCTGCTTTTACAAAACAGTTGTCTAGATAACAAGAACACATCCTAACGCCTGAAGAAAACAAATCTTTTTCCATAAAGAAAATTGGCTTATTGACATACTAAAGCAAGACAGTTCATTCCTCTAGTGGCACTATGCTGCAGATGTAGCTGCAGATGTTATTGTTTAAAATTTTTCAAAAGAAAGCGTGTTTGGGAAAAAAAGGTGTC